CTGTGTTGTATTTGGCTATATATTCATCCTAAGTGAGAACAAGAAAAAGATAGTTACTTCATAAGATTTTAAATAGCAAATTGTCTTTGGAAATAATGGAGGAATTAAAAGTGAATCAACAAAGTTACAGGTAACATGTCCTGATTTTGTTTCTTTGTAAGAATGATTTGTAGGGAATCAGCAGTTAGCGTAATGGCTATGTCGCTGGACTCCCACGTAGTCGACCGCAGTTGGTGTCCCGGACCCGGTGGCTTAAAACTCACGCCGGGCGCGTGTGCGTGTGTGCCCAAGATCCCGAGAGGAGAATGGAGGAGAAGGGACTGCAGCGTGACCATCCCCCCTGGGGGGTGATTTCTCGCTTTCTGTCTCTATGTCTCTCTCTGTCTGTCTGGCGAGCGCACGCGCCCTACAGTGAAAATCTCTCCAAAAAAAAAAAAGAATGATTTGTACAGTTTTATTTATGTATTGTTACTCTCCAGTTTGACTAGAGAGAGACAGAGACAGAGAGAGAGAGAATGAGAAAGCAAGCTGCCAGGATTGGGTCTTGAACCATGGTTGGCCATGTGGGAGTCCAGTGCCTTCAAATCACTATGCCACTGGTTAGCCCCAACTTGCCGTAAATTTTTGTAGTTGGTAGTCATGATCAAAATGTACACACACACATAAATAACTAAAATGATGTGTGTAAGGCTCTTGGGCGGGTAGCCAGGCCGTCAGTTCAGTTGTCAGGGAAATCCAGTGTCTGGGAAAGCATTCTGTATCATCTTCCTCTCTTCCTTCTTTAGGTTACAGGAGCTTATCAGTCCTAGGAAGGCCGAGGACACAGAGAAAAAAGATGAACCCAGCAAATACAGTCAGCAACAGGCCCTCATTGACCAGAGGTACTTTCAGGTATTGGATCGGTGACAAAAGACTGGTGTTGGAAGGGACCTTGATTGCAGTTGCAGTGGAGTGTTATCACTTGGTAACGAAAACCTGTCTCCTGTATCTGCGTGTGCTCATTTTGTCTGTCCTGCCAGGACATACCTATTTGGATAAAAGCATTGTAGGTACTTCACCTTAGAAGTTTTCTTCCTCGGGCCAGCCCTATGGCTTAGTGGTAAAGGAACTGAGGCCCGCATGGCCAGCTGTGCAGTCCAAATCCCAAACCTGGCAACCGAAAGATACACTGGGCATGTGCATGTGTGTGTGTGTGTGTGTGTACCCCAAATCCTGATGGAGAAAGGATTACAGCATGACCACCCCTAAGGGGGGTGCCTTCTCTCTCAATCTCCCCTACCCCCATCCAGACCCTGACTCTTTGGCCAGTGCATGCACCCTCTGACAGATTAAAAAATAAAGACTTTACCTTACTTCCTAAGAGAGACTTTGGCCTAGTTAAAGCAGGGTAGTAAAAAGCTGATATGGGGGGCCAGCAGGTGGCATGGAGGTTGAGGGTGCTGGACTTCCACATGGCTGACTTGGGATTCAAGTCTCAGACCTGGCGGCTTGCTTTCTCACTTTCTCTCTCTCTAACTCTATCCCTCTCTGGTTAAGTCATGATAAATGAATAAATGGATAAATAAAGTTAAATAAAATAATTCTTAAAAAAAAAAAAAGCTGATATGTTTATGTTGCTGAACTCCCAGGTAGTTGACTGTGGTTCGAGTCCTGGACCTGGGAGTATAAACCTCATGGTGGGCACATGTGCGTGTGTGCCCAAAATCCCAAGAGGAGAATGGAGGAGAAGGGACTGTAGCATGGCCATCCCCCCTCTGGGGTGATTTCTCATTCTCTGTCTCTGTCTCCATCTGCATATGTGCCATAAAACCTTTAAAAAAAAAAAAAAGTAAAGATTTTTAATAAGATTTTATAATCCAGGGTTTGCAGGTGGCATGGTGGTTAAGGCACTAGACTCCCCCATGGCCGACCACGGTTCAAGTTCCAGACCTGGAAGCTTACTTTTCTACTTTCCCATTCTTTCTCTGTCTCTTTCTGGTCAAATTGAACAAATAATAATAAGTGAAATAAAATAATGCTTAAAAAATATTTATAATTCTTTTTCTTATCCCCTTAAATCATTTATCCTTTTACTGTTTTTGTTGAGGCTGTTGTTATTAGGTAAGTAAAGCTATTATTTTACAGTCTCTACATGACGTTTTGGTTGTTCCTCAACTGTTTAGTCCATGTGAAATTTCGTTTTCTGTGTAGTGCTTTATAGGGAACCTAACCTTACTATTTTATAGAACATTGATTGAATAAATGAGCAATAAGCCTGGCAGTTTACTGAGTGAACTGGGCCTGCACTTACGTCTTATTGGACCCATATATATATATTTTTTTATTTTTTAAAGAATTATTTTATTTAACTTTATTTATTTTAATTTGACCAGAGAGGGACAGAACGAGCGAGAGAAAGAGAGAGAGAGAGAGAGAGAAAGCAAGCTGCCAGGTCTGGGACTTGAAACATAGTTGGCCATGTGGGAATCCAGCACCGTTAACCACCACACCACCTGCTGGCCCCTCTTCTACCTTCCATATATTTTAAAATAAATTTTTAAATTGATTTTCAGTATTTTTTCAATTAAGAGGATTTTGAAAAAGTCTTTTATTTCTAGCTTTTCTTCAAAGTCTGGAAGATCTGCCAGTAAGTTCCCCCATGGTCACTCCCAGAGCAGAACTGTGCCTCCCTGTCAGATCTGTGCTCTTCAGCAGCCACGTCCTCAGGGAAGCTCTCCTTGCTTCCCTCGTTTGTGCTCGGACCCGGCTTCCCTGGGCATTTTGAATTTGCATTCTCTAACAGACCCCTTTTTTCCATACTTTTTTTTTTTTTTTTTGAGAGGTCGCCCGGCATGAGTTTAAGCCACTGGGTCTGGGACTTGAACCGTGGTTGACTACTTGGGAGTCCAGCGACATAGCCATTCCGCTAACTGCTGGTCCCCTCCATACATTATTGAAATGACACTCATTATATGTCAAAGTCCTTTAAATGCATGGGTTCTCTAATCTGGTCCATTTCTGCACCATCTCTATAATCTCTAGTTTATTAAAGCTACTGCTTTAAATACCCCTTGGGGCTAGTATCCTGCCCTTGCTCTTTTTCAGGTTTTCATTTGTTATATTTTTAGCACATTTATTCTTCTGGATGAACAGGTTTTTAAATGAAAAAATGAGTCCCTTTGGGATGAACTAAAATCGGACTGACTTTCTGCGTTCATCTTTAGAGAAATGGCACCGTTATAGTTTCAGATCATTTAACTCAGCCATTTCTCTCTCAGTTTATTTGGGTCTTTTATAGTCTTCACAAACTTTATATACATGTATTTTTCTAAATAACTATTTTATTTAATTGATTATCATTACTATTTGTTTAATTTGACCAGAAAGAGGCAGAGAGAGAGAGGCAGAGTAGGAAGGCGAGCCTCCGGGTCAGGGACTCAGGCTGCGGTCGGCCGTGTAGGAGTCCAGCGTCTCAGCCACCACGCCGCCTGCCGGCCCCAAGTTCACGTATTTTTAAATTTCGCTCTGACATATTTCTTGTTAGTTTTACTTCCTAGGTATTCTGTAACTTTTGTTACCGTGGTGACCGGGATTGGGCCCCCTCTGAGCACTGCTTTCCTGTACCAGTATATAGCTAGATTTTTTTCATTTTATTTCTTAGACTGAATTTGAGAGAATTTTCCCTTAGAAAGGGGAATTAAACTACTCATGAACATCAAGACCAACTCATATTCCTACTGTAATTCCTGATGCTTACTTTCTTCTATTTAGGGATTTCTTGTTCTTTTCCTCTGCTGTTCTTCCGTGCTGTTTGATAGCTTGGTCAGTCCCTGTGTCTTTTCTCTTGTGTTTGGATTTGCCATAGGGCGCATGTGCCTGCAGGGGAGAGACAGAGCGGGAGGGAGGGAGACCACCCACCAGGGTGATGCATGCTGGACATCCTTCTCTTCTCTTTCATTCTCCTCTCAGGATTTGGGGCGCACATGCACATGTGACCAACATGATTTTCAAGCTAGTGTGTTTCTTTTTTTTTCTTAGAGAAATTTTTGCTATAGGGCACATGTGCTTGCCAGACAGACAGAGAGAGACGGAAGTGTGAGATCACACTATGGGGGGCGGGGAAGGTGGCCATGCTGCATTCCCTTCCCTCCATTCTCTTCTTGGGATTTTGGGCATGCACACACACACGCCTGGCATCAGTTTTAAGCTGCCAGGTCCAGTACTTGAACCACAGTTGACTATGTGGGAGTGCAGTGATGTAACCATTCCGCCATCTGCTGATCCCTCAAGCCAGTGTGTTTGTACATGAGAATAACCTTTGACATGGTAGCCTGAATAATGCAGATTGTCCTCCCCAACACAGGTGGGCACAGCCTAATCAGTTGAAGGCCTGACTAGCCAAGAAGGCTGAATAGGCAGGAATTCCTCCTGCTGGTTGCCTTTGAGCTGCGATGCCGTTATTTTATTTCACTTGTCTTCCTGCCTTTGGACTTGAGCTATAATAGCAGCACTTCCATGATTTCAGGCTTGTCTGCATTCTGTTTGCAAGTACATCTCAGCTTTCCTGGGTCTGTGATTGCTGAATGCAGGTTGATTGATTGATTGACAGGATAGATAGATAGATGATAGATAGATAGATAGGTAGGTAGATAGATCGATCGATCGATAATAGATAGGGTTGTCAGAAAAGACGTGATGGATTTATACCTAGAAACACAGAAAAATACGTCATGACTTTTCCAATGACAAAATACATTTCCTCTCATATAGTTTTATATCATGGTGTGTGTGTGTGTGTGTGTGTATACACACACTTATTTTTAGGTTTTTGCCAATAGGGTGCATGCACTCAGCAGAGAAAGACAGAGAGAGGGAAAGTGAGAAATCACACACACACACACACACACCCCCAGGAGGCTGGCCATACCGCAATCCTTTCTCTTCCATTCTTCTGGGATTTTGGGCACTCAAACATACGCGCCCAGCATGTTATTCAAGCTGCCGGATCTGGGATTCAAACTGTAGGTGGTCAGTTAGGAATCCAGTGCCTTAACCACCACGCCACCTGCTGGCCCCAGTACACACACAATTTGGATGTTTGGATGTTTGAAAAGTTTTATGGCAAAAGTTGGGAGCACACTTTGAATGTTTGTATGTTTGAAAAGTTTTATGGCAAAAGTTGGGAGAAAAAAAGTCAAGTCAAATCTCAATCAAAACTTTAATCCCTCAGGCCAGCCTCATAGCACAGCAGTTCAGTGCAGTGCACAGGGAATCACATCTCCATGGCCATTCCTGGTTCAAACCCTGGCCATGGCTGTTTGAAAAACATGCCAGTCGCACGTGTCCAAATCCTGAGAGAACTGCAAAGTGCAGGAAGGATTGTTTCATGACTGTACCCCATTGAAGGGGTTGCTTGCTCGCTCGCTCGCTCTCTCTCTCTCTCTCCAGTGAGTGCACACACCCTCTGGCAATTAAAAACACAAGCAAACAAAACCCCTCAGAACTGCAGCCCCTCACGTAGTTCAGTGCTTCTGCCCTGTGCCTGCGCTCACGCCCAATCTGTACTTGAGCGGAAGAACAGTGTGGGAAGGAGCGTGACCTGGGCTTCCTCTTTGCTGCACTTTCTCTCCTGGCCCTCTGCCACGTTAGCTTGTCCTGCCCTGGCAGTGAGAGGGAGCTGGCGGACGTGGCGGGTGAGAATAGAACGAGACAGCAGGGAGGACCCTTCCTACTACCACGAGTGCGTGTGACCGGTGACCAATACTGCCCTATAGCAAAATTTAAAAATAATAAATAAAATTGAATAAATAATTACTTAAGAAAAGAATATGTGGGACTTGTTATTTATCCTCACTTTGAACTTCAGTTGAAGCTGTGAAACAACAGCTTCCTGTTCAGCTTAGATGTCGGGAGACAGAGGTAGGGGAATGTGGAAGATAGGGCTTAAGGATGTCTGGGTGGTTACCCTTCTCTGTGGGAGATACACCAGGTCATGCATGACTCTCTTCAAGGCTAATTTATTGTTAAATTCATTTAAATTTTTCCACAAAGATTTTGGTTCTCATTAGAATTTATATGTTTAACTTTGTTAATGAAACAAATGTATTATTGAAAGATAGTAAGTGTCAAACTAATTAAAGATAGTCTTTCATACCTAAAATTATTAACTGAAAATGATGTTGCATTGACATATAAAGCACTCCTTTAACATATCATTTTTCAGGACTATAGTAGATATTTTGACTAAAAATTCTTCTTTTTTTTTTTTTTAAGGTACTATGTAGCATCAATTCAATTATTCACAATCCAAGAGCTCCAGTGATAATTTATAAACAGAGCAAAGGAGGAGTCCCAAATTTTAATAAAGAACTTGTTCAAGATTGTGGATTTGAGCATCTCGTTCCTATAATAGAAATGTGGGCGGATCAACTGACATCCCTTAAGGTGAGGGCTTGGCTGCTCTTTACATGCTTTAAAAATCTGTCGAACTCCATTAGCTTTATTAATAGGACTTGCCTTAATTTGTTGGTTTAACTGTAAAGCTGAAAAAGCTTATCTAAAACCAGAATCTTGCTATGTACATATCTATTTTTTAATATTTATTTATTTTAATTTGACCATAGAGAGACAGAGTCAGGGCGGGGAGGGGTTGAGAAATCAAGTCTCCAGGTCCGGGACTTGAACCACAGTCAGCCAGGTGGGAGTCTAGCGCCCTTAACCACTGTGCCACCTGCGATCCCTATACATATCTATTTTAAGTACTTTGTATTTGATGATGTCATACTGTAAGCTTTACCTCCTGAAGGTTCTACTGAGGAAGACATTTGTAGGCCCGTTTCCCCCTTGAAGTCACGTGGGTCCCCGTTGTCCTCGTAGCCCCTTCCCTGTTGCACCTTCCTCTCCCCCTTGCTAATGTCACCCTGCTGCGGAGCTGCCTGGCCTTAACTCCTCTCTGCAGCTGTGATGTCTTGTCCTGCATTTCATTGTAGTCAGGGACATACTCTTGTCATATTTTAAATTATTTCCTCTGCTCACGACTGAGCTGTTCTTTATGTCTAGGTCTTACGTAACTATTTTCAAGTCCAATTCTTTTTTTTTTTTTTTGAGAGAGATTTTCACTGTAGGGCGCATGCGCTCGCCAGACAGACAGAGAGAGACATAGAGACAGAAAG